TCGGAGTCCTTTTCTGTTAGTATCTGGAATCGGTCACTCACGTGCAAGTGGCTTCGTACCGTTCGACACCGCAAAATTAGGACATTTCTGTGATGGCATGACAGAAGGAGAACAGTCCACTTTTGCGAAATTGAGCTGACAGCATCACCATATAGAGAACGTCCTGATCCAGCTTCTTGGCATAAAACTTCTCCATATCTGCTACCTATTGAACATCTTTAGCTGGGTGGGTTGCAAAAAAGTGGAACAGCCAGTGAGGTGAAGTGGAGAGGAAGTTAAAAATCTTCCTCCTGAGAAATGGTGAAAATGGACTTATCCGCCCTCTGTCATACCACCAGAGATTTCTCCTTTAGAAGCCTCGCACTTGCATTGGAGTTCTTGATAAGTCAGCATTCGTCAGAGTTTCATATGTGTTCTTATCAGACTGTCACTAGCCAACGCTGGTTCTTATCTTTTTCAAGAGAGGGCTTCTTAGCTCTATACGAGAAGCGATGAGAGCTCATCATGAGGTCTGTATTCTGCCATTTTTCATTCAGAATAGACGAACGAGACAGTGGCATTAGTACTTCTTGGACGTGCTAATGACTATCACCTGTCACAGCGATGGTGTCTCCAGCAAGAGTGCTCTGGCATCATATGTATCGAGTTGAACATCATGTGCTTTCTTCGGTGTGACTATTCTGCTATGCTTCTGCACCGACCAATTCTCAACCAGAATTTCATAGAACAGGTGCATCCCTTGCTTCCAGATGACCATCCGTAGTAAGATAAGGATACAAAGATTATACTTTTACTCTGTAAAACATGGAATTTTATTATTTTCATCACTTCACATAGGAGCTATCCAAAAGGTCCAAGATTGCCCATCATATTTTACATTTTCTCGATTAAATACGTTCACAGGGAGCGTACCACTACAAGATTCATGAAACCTAGAATGTCATAGGGTCATTCCGTATCAAATAAAAGCAAAAAATATGGAGAAAGACTTAGCCAATTCGAATTTCATTAAATATGGTAGTCTTGTAAGGGCTATGATAAATCAATTCCAATCCAAATGCTATCTTCCCAGGAACTCGGATGAATTCAGGCCATGATTGAATTTTCGCCCTTCTAATATCAATTTCTTTGAAACTCTTCAGAGCAGCTAATTTAACTCTGGAATTTTGTGCTTCAAAGGCAGGAGATTGCATGGCTGCCGCAAGCAACGTAGTCTCGGGGTAATGGTAACAAAGAAGATTGTCAAGAGAGTCTGGGAATCATCAGTAGTGACCAATTATTGAAGTAAGTACCATGGTATTGGATGAGAAGGTTTTATTCCTCCTCCCATGAACATAATAGCATGTGGCTTTTATAGCTGGATGAGTTTCATCCAACATTTCAAGGGAATAATCAACTGTGGCTCTACGAATTCAGTCCCTCATTTCCCCATTATGTTCACAGGAAGAGTAAACGAAGGATAGAGAACGTGGATATTTTCCATGTTCTAAAACTCCTATCGGATAGGGTCATTCTTTTTTTTCGTAAAGGGTTCTCATATGGAATATGAGCTTGTTTATGGCAAGGGCTCCATGATTCTATGTCGAATATGTGGATAACAAATGATGAAGTGTCCAAGTTTCTTGAGTATTAAAATGAGACTAGGTGAGACATGGTACTGAAGGTGAATGAGGTACTGAACACTCCTATGAGGGACGATTACTGGGAAAGAGGGATGGGTACTTATGTGTACTGTGCAAAAAGCGAGACCTATACCTCCATCTAGTGGCCTGAAGCAGAACTTCAATATTTTCCTTAAAACTTGCAAATGCGGTCGGGTACATTGGATCATCGCGTCGGTCCAATATTGGATCGACGATGGAATAGCTATATTGGGGTAGCCAATATTTTGACTATATTGGCAATATTTGCGAAGGTGGAGCCAACGTTGGTCCAGCTTTAAGTCAATATCTGGTGCTACTGGGGTGGGACGTAATTTTCTGATCTAGAATCAGACGCGCTACCCACAGGGCTATGGTCACTATACGTCTTATTATGGCTAACATGATCTATTTCTTTTAGGTAGTGATGATAGCCTCCAGAGCTTCCTTCAAAGTGAGACTAGTCTTTGTGCTGAGAGGCTCCAGGTCGAGTAGGCGTGTGTCCACTGTTGGTGGGTTTAGGAGCTTCTCAAAGTCTTTCCACCTCCCAAGTAGAGGGTTATCAAAAGTCACTCCATAACTTGTTTTATTTATATTTCCACATTTTGAATATTTTAAGGTGAAATTAGCTCACATAATAGTCTAACATGATACTTCCATACGTGTGGGAAACTCTTTTGAAACACCAATCTTCCAGTTTCTGGGCTTCGAATGGCAGGTTTACAATATATTTCCTCTGCTGGTGCCTTTAAATCTGGGGCTGCATCCGTATTTTATCAGGAAATATTCCTGATAGTTAAACATAATCGACTGTTAGCGGAAGGTTGATATGAACCTTATCTGTTGCGAGGACTGCCTAGCCATATTCGAGAAGCTGCATCAGGTACAAGCTTATGAGCCCTAATTCACTCGTTATTCAGTCCTCGTGAAAGAGCCAACCGGTGTCAAAAATGGCATTAGTGCTTCTGGGACGGGCTCATGACTAAAATCAACAGAGGGATGTTACATCCAGCAAGATGCCGCTGGCAAGATTCGTGTCTAGTGAAATTGCGCTTGCTTTCCCACGTGTGATTGTTATCGTGATTTGTCTTCAGCATCCATCAGCTTTCTACTGTACTGGTGATTCACGAAGTAGGTGCATCCCTTGCTTCGCTTCGCAACCTCTCATTAGTGATCAGGTAAGTATTATGCCTGTTTGCAGGTTGAATTAACATTTGATATCTTGTATCGAGCATGGCATCGCCTATGCCTGTGGGAAGTCTCGCGTTAGGAGGAGATTTGAACCAGTCCTGCCTTCAGAGGATTGCACCATCCTTAAGGTGGGACACCTCCCAATTTCTTCTCAAAAATGCAGAGGGGCCACATAGATGAAAAGGGAACTTTTAACTGAAGCAAAACTGACAAGCGTTCAGAGGAGGCGGAAACGTAGTCCAATCCTTCGCCTTCAAAGGAAGTGCAGGTTTTCCTCAAAGCCACCCACCAAATCAAGGGCTTCCATGGAATCATGAACCTAAGTAATGTATTGAATACTTGTGCATGATGAGTAAAATACTATTAATATATTCCAGTTTCGTACAGAATTTACTGCAACTGAGAACTGCAGGAATTTTGACGAAATTTTTACTCCGTGCCGCTAGTTTCTTTTTAAATATCAGTTGTCCTACATGGACAAAATCATAACCCATGATTCACCGCCATCTCAGCTCCGAAAAAAAAACCTACATGAGATTTTTTAAAAATAAAATTATTATAGGATTCCTGTAGAAATTCTTTAATACCCAAACCTCATGCAACATCTGGATGAATACTTACTGCCTTCCTTCTGTCCGCCTCACCCATCACCAAATCGTAGTATTCGGGCCAGTTGGCAAGAAAATTTCGCTGCCTTCTAAAGCGAAGCAGAGATTCTCCGGATGAGTGAGTCTCCATGCTTGGAATTCCATGCTCATTCTCTATACTTTGTTACCATTCCAAGGTTGCTTGTGTGACTCACTGGCCTTGACACTCATTTTCCGATTACACTTATCTTCCTTCTTGACGATACGCACGAAGCTCGTTAATTTCCAATTCTTTGACACTTTAAAAATAAAATTTATCGAAAATGATTCTCTACCCTTTCGATACTTCCATATGCAGGTTCCTTGTTGACATAGGACCTAATCCAATTGGGGCTGGTTGCCGCGCCTGCATTTAGCTTCCCTATTCCACAAGTGATCTTATCACAGGCGACAACATGATGAAATACGAGATTTTTAACCAGTCCTCGAGCAAATTTAAAATATAATAACTGTTGTTATGCACGTGATAGAAACAAACTAGAAATGGCATATGAAGTATAATCATTATGGTGTTTACCACACTAAGTATAAATGCCGATGCCCGACATAACCGCCATCGTTTGTGATATATCGTCCACTACGATTTTCCAAAGGCTTGAAAACATTTTCTATTATTACTGGGTTACTTCATGAATTGTATTTGGCCAAAGGTTAATCCAAAGAATGTTGAGTAAACAACCCTTTCAACATATTGTCATGAAAAGTAGGCGAATTGAGACAATTTAGGAGAAAGAGGAGGCCATGAAATTGGTCTACCAAACAACTTGGCTGAGAAAACTATTGGGTAGGAAAGAAAGTCTTGCAACACTTTCTAAAACTATTTATACAAATTTTCAAAGGAATGATGGGCGGGGCTTCGCATTTGTATATGCTGGAATGTTCTCGAAGCTTCTGCCCTCGGGATATATAAGGCGGTTTCTGCCATTAGTTGCAGCCATGGCTGCGATCGAACGAGCAACTCTTCGCCCCATCGTCTACTTCGAGTTTCTCCAAGGACACTCTGCGAAACCCGCCACGGACAACATCTGCGCTGCATTCAAGGGCAACGTCGTCCACCAATCCACGGTGTCTCGATGGTTGAAAAGCTTGGAATCTGGTGACACGACCTTCGGAGATCGACCACGCTCGGGACGTCCATCGACAGTCGATGACGAAGCCCTGCGAACGCTCTCGACGCGTAGCCGAACGCCACCACTCGCGAATCGGCGACTACACTTGGAGTAGTCGATGACGAAGCCCTGCGAACGCTCTCGACGCGTAGCCGAACGCCACCACTCGCGAATCGGCGACTCCACTTGGAGTCACCCATATGGCCATCGGCAACCATCTGAACAACCTCGGCTATCGGAAGGTTTACTCGACATGGGTCCCTCATCGGCTCGGGGACTCTGACAAAGCAAGCCGTGTCGGTGTCTCCGAATCACTGGTCCTTCGCACAGAAATGACCTTCTGAAGGAAGGGGCAGTTTATCCTCTTGGGCAGCAGTCCGATTCCAAGCATCAATGCAGAATTCCATCGATTAAAGCATCAGTATACGGATCATCCTCATATCCATTTGATTCTCCACCACCAAGAAGAATTGGCACATTTGATTTATGCCGGATCGGACATGTTTATTGTCCCCTCCATCTTTGAGCCCTGCGGATTGACACAGATGATCGCTTTGAAATATGGGGCCGTCCCGATCGTCAGAAAGACGGGAGGGCTTGCCGACACCATTTTCGATGTGGATTTCTCCGGGAAGCCTTTCGAAGAGACGAACGGCTATACCTTTGATTTCCCCGATGCTGTAGGAATCGACTCTGCATTAGACAGAGCCATCGCATGCTGGTTCGAAGAACCTGAACGCTGGCGGAATTTGATGTTGAATGGCATGAAAGTCGATTTTAGCTGGAACCATCCTTCCGATCTCTATTTGGATATTTATAAGACATTGAAGAATTCCTTAGCTTGAATTTATCTGAGCAATGATCTATACTAGGTTATCGCCTTTTTATCATGATTGAGCAAGGAAAGTTGTCTTGAGCATCGCTAATTATCTCACGTTTTTTCGCCTATTCATCGGCCCCATTTTCTTATTCGTCTACCTCGAGTACGAAACCTTGCATATTAGCCTGACCGCGCTCCCTTACATTCTGCTTTTTCTCTTAGGCATTTCCGAATCATCCGATGTTTTAGACGGCTACTTTGCCAGGAAATACAATACTGTGACCGATCTCGGAAAAATCCTTGATCCCATGACCGATAGCATCTATCGGATTTCAGTATTTTTGACGTTCACTCTCCCGCCAATCCGGCTACCCATGGTCTTGATTTTCATTTTACTCTACCGAGAATCGATCATCAGTACATTAAGAACCATTTGCGCCCTCAGAGGATTTGCCCTTGCAGCACGCCCTAGCGGCAAACTCAAAGCAATCATCCAGGGAATCACTGCTTTTTACAATGGTCATTACATTGTAGACTGAAATTGCATTTCAATAAAGATATAACATTTTGACAAATTTGCGCAGTGTTGCAAGACTTTCTTTCCAAACCAATACGATCAACAGACGGGCTTGCATTTTATTACCAACGATCACAGGCTCGAATATCTCTCAATCCTCCCTATAGAACGCGTCAAACACCCGATCCCATTCATCGCCAGAGAAGTGAAAAATTCTGGATAGATAAGCTGGAACGCGCCATCAACTCCACAATCTAGTCCAGTCTCCTCACTTTCCTTGCTCCCCCCCCCCCTCCCCGCGCATCCCAACTGCCCCAACTGTCATCCTTTGGTTCCTCACTTTATTGTACCATTACTTCGTGTCTATCTCTTTTCTGTTGCCCTCTCTTCAAGTTCTTAGGTTACTCCATTTCATTCATCCTTTTTCACCTCAAAGGCCAGGGGAGGTGGGTGGTTGAAGAATGAGAAAGCAATTGAAAATTGGTTTTCACATTACTTTATTTTCCAAATTAATTGATAGAACATATCTTTTTTCCTACACCATGACAATTCAATGGTGTGGAATTATTTTTTTTTTTTAGCTGGATGAGTGCCTACCTTTGTCCCAATGGATTATGTTGCTAAACTAAGGAAAATGAAGTGCTTTCTCAAGAGGCGTTTAGAGATTGATTTCGACCATTTCCTGGACGAACTAGTCAACGAGGATTTGATAATACCAACAAAGGAAAGGGCACTCAGAGCCAAGAAGGAATACGCTGAACAGATTGAATGTACCTTCTCCGATCTTACTACAAAGAATCCTCAAGTGACATACGCTCAACTCCTCACAATTTTGGTGAAAATGGGCAGACATGACATCACGGCCATGCTTTCAGGTGAGCAACTACCATAAATTGGGAATGACATGATGGCAATGAAGTAAGTATTCATCATATCAGTTTTCCTCCTTGATATTCAACTAATTAAATACAATTTCTCCAAACAGGCAGGTAATCCCAAGCAGCATGTTTACGAAAACAACACATCAATTTTTTGCAAACAGTATAAATATATTGCGATTGCCATGGAAATATCATCACTTTTACGTAAAATTTACGTTCCTATGTTTACGTCACCAAGGTATACGTGTATTTTACATAGACTAGACGTCCTCCAACTGACGTGAAGTACATGATATCAAGTTTATGCAAAATTAATATCACCCCATCCATATGAAACTTTAGCTGACCATCCTGCAGTTGCAGTACCNATTAATATCACCCCATCCATATGAAACTTTAGCTGACCATCCTGCAGTTGCAGTACCAAGATTCCTCACTAGATGTAACCATTGTTCCCTGCACCCTACAAATGCTATTAAGTACTGGCTTTCCCGATATGGTATCAGGTTTTCTTACCATACTTCCAATTTTTATTATGCGATCCATGAATACATATATGGAAAAAAGAATCATTTTAAATATTTTTAATATTATATGACTCAGGGAATCATTAAATGCTGAAGCTAAGCTTGTTATTACAACAGTGCATGGGATTATGGAAGAGTAGATTCCCAGCCCCATAAGTACTATGTCATTCCTATCTTAATGGAAGAGAGCTCCTCTTAACATCTATTCCTCCTCCCGATGTCCCAGTATAGGAGGAGGAACTAGTGAGTCATCTAGGAACTCTGATGGTAGTGCAGGTGAGGATGTGAACTTGTTTACTCGTCCAAGTAACCTTGAGTTGCAAAGTATGGAACGGAATGGGAGAAATACAGAGTATCAAGTCTCTTCAAAAGTACGAATTGGCTCGTTAAATATGCATGCATGTTAGGGGAAAATTAATATCAATTTTACATGAAATGAATGTATACATGCTGTTGGGGATATACTCGTAAACGGGAAAGTCAATTTAAAGCAAAATTTATTATCATTTTGTATCACCGTTTACGTATTACAGAGCTGACGTTTCTGCAGACATGTTGACATTATCTTGATGATGGATTGCGTAAAATAGCTGTAAAATGGATAATAAAATTATATTAATTTTACATAAAAGTAACTTAAACATGCTGCTTGGGATGGCTCTGATGAGAATTGAAACTTCTTGTCAGGGATTGGTCCTTTTCCAAGTATATTTTTAAAGTTGGCCATTCAGCCTTTCGAGTATGAAGCGATATTAGAATTTACTCAAGTAAATTCTAATCCTTTGAAATGTCCTTTTGTCCTTTGAAATGAATGTGCCTCATCAACGGTTTCACGATACTGTTTATTTCGAAGAGACCCATTTTTATCAAAATCAACCGCGCCTTAAAAATTAAAAAAAGATTCTGCCCTTCGAGTTGGACTATCAGATAATGATAGCTTTGGAGATCCCAGAGCCACATCTACAGTATTATAATTACATTTTTCCGAAGTCGCGAATGTGAGAATTGAAGAGCGTGGCTTTTTCACCATTGGGTGATTTTTGTTGGAATCAATGTGTCCGGTCAATTTCTCTGCCGGTAAAATCCCCTGACGATCTATTCCTGGTTTGGAGATTCCTTGACCTGTAAATTTCCGAATGATGATTTCTATGATATTGGGACAAATGTGCAGTTCTGAGACAATGCGAAAGAATATAAATAAAAGCATTCATTTATTTTAATTTTTTCATTATAATGGGTTTGTTTCCCATCAAACATTTTCCGCCCCCACATCATACATCTAGGGAAATACGGGATGCGGTAGCTCCCAAAGGGTATCGAAGGGAATCGAATGAAAGGAAAAATGCCACCAACCTTAGGAAACCCAGAAGCCTCAGGGAACATCACAACCAATACGATGTTAGCCAGAGAGCTGATGAAGGTTTTCAGGGAAATAACAAAATTAAAAGGAATGGAACCGAAACGGTTGTAGGATAATCCTCTCACCAACCAGAGAAGTTGTCCTTCAAAATCCCAAAAAGGGAGTACCTGTTTATCCGGAGTAGTTGGGTGGCTTAGAAATCAAACCATTAAGCGGTTAGGCTTCGGACAACGTGAGAACATGGAATTCATGAGGAAAAAAGAGGGAGAGAATCTTCTTATTTTAGAGGGCTCTGTGTTCACAAGGAATAAAATGAACAAGGACAGACGAAGAATGCCTTGGGAGTGTTCAATACGTTCTGTTACAAAAAAAAATCCAAAGAAAACTACTGCTGTAATGCTACAACATGAGGGCAAGTTTCCCATATGGTCGCTGACTCTTTTCGCAGGGGCATCAACTGAGAACCTGGAAGAGGAGCCATTTGATATTTCTTTGAAGAAGGATAATGATCTGCTGCCACTGATATCTCGACCATATTCACAGGTATGGGAGTTGGAGAATAAACTGGAACGAATTGGCTTTCATTGATGTGTACGAATTTTTAGAAAAGTGAAAGGATAATGCAAAACCAATTGAAACATGAGGAATGAAGTAGGAAAAATAAAGATGCCCAAGCAACATGTTTATGTTAATTTCACGTAAACTGAACTTAAATTTTTTGTCCATTTATATATTTTTATGCAAACCACCCAAGCAGCATGTTCACATGAACAAGATGTCAATTTTTTGCGAACAATGTTAATTTATTGCGATTGCCATGAAAATATCATCACTTTTACGTAAAATTTACTTTCCTATATTTACGTCACCAAAGTGTACGTGTATTTTACATAAACTAGACGTCACTCCATTTGACGTGAAGTACATGATATCATGTTTATGCAAAATTAACGCCATACCAGCCATATGAAACTTTAGCTAACCATTCCGCAGTTGCAGTAACAAGATTCCTCACTAGATGGAACCCTTGTTCCCTGCATCCGACAGATACTATTAAGTACTGGATTTCCTGATAAAATATTCTATTTTTTTACCATCCTTCCACTTTTTATTATACAATCCATGAATATATATATGGAAATCAGGAAATTATTATATATTTTTTCATACTATATTACTCAAGGAATTATAAAATGCTGAAGTTAAGCTTTTTATTACAGCAGTGCACGAGATAAGGGAAGAGTAGAATCCCAGCTTTACAAGTGCTGAATCTTCTCTAACCTAAACGGGGGGAGAGTTCCTTGAACTTTATACTCTTCGTCCCGAGGTTCCAGTACGGGTGGAGGAAGTGGTAGGTTATGTTGGTACTCTTGGGTGCTGATGAGGATGAGTGTACTCATCCAACCACTCCAGAGTTCTGAAGTATGGAAAGGTATGGGAGATACAGTATATCAATTCTTTTCAAAGGGGCTGATTGGCTCGTTAAAGACACACGAATGCTAGGGGGAAACTAACATAAATCTTACGTAAAATCATCGTTAAAACAATTGTTAGGAATGCAAACGGGCATGTCAATTTGACGTAAAATTGACGTTAATTTCATATCACCGTTTACGTATCACAGAGGTGACATTTGTGCAATCACGTTGGCATTATCTTGACAATGGTTTGCGTAAAATGATATAAAATGGACAAAAATGTACATTCAGTTTACGTAAAATTAGCATAAACATGCTGTTTGGGTCAAATACAATTGGAGTTTCGTCACATGCATTTCTTAGGAGAAACGTTGTGAATAATCTATTCCTTCTTTGGAAGATCGCAATGAATACATTATCAATCATGCAATTACTAAAGAATTGATGACCATCTATCATCTAGGCCTGAAGGGCTAACACACGAACCTCTTTCATCTCATTAAAAATCGAAATGTTGAGCAAAAGCTACATTGAAACACTGGGAATGGATTCACCAATGAAACAAAGTGATGTAACGTGAAAAAACATCAATGGTGAAATGTATTTTAACCGTGTTAACTCGTATTTGTTTTGCGGAAGTAAGCAAAAATTGACCGTATGGTCAGAGGAAGCTACAGTAAATGTCGATAATTAATGTACCTTTATCCTGAAAATGTACTTAGCTGAAAAGCTCCATCTAATATATATAGACGATCCTGACGGACTTACTGACTGACGCTAATTCTAACCATGTTCTAGAGAAGTTAGAAATCTGAAACTTTGTACAAATGTTCCTTTTGGGATGCAGAGTTCAGAAAAAATCCGACTTTGGAGGTACATGCCCTGGGCGTACACATTTTGGGGGGATACGTTTTTAAAGATATATATTGTGACGGATTAGGATGGCATCGAGAGGCTTAACACGATGCCTCGGGTTCGGTGGTGTATTGGTAGACCACCTGTCCGGCAATCAAGAAGCGCGGGTTCAATTCCCGGCCGTTCATTGGATTTCTTTCGGCCTGTTATGCCTTTCAAGTTGCGTAACTTTTTCACCCTCCATAACATAATTTTGCTTTGTTTTTTATTTTTATTTTTGCTTTAGTAAAACGGAGACACATGGAAAGCTGAAACTTGAAAATAGTTTAGCAGTAGAAAATTTGATTTCTACACGTATATCCCCGATTCCCATTGCAGGTCTTAGAAGTGTTACAGAGCTTCACCTAGAGGAAAACATGATGACAGAATTGGAGGAAGACGCTTTTCTGCCTATGTTGGAGGACCTGGGGAAAAACGGGAAAATCTTTCTTTCAGGTGAGTTCCCGTCCGGTCTGCTATGCTTACAAGTCTCATATTGTTTTCTTCGTTCCGGGATTCGATTTCTTCTTCTAATCACTCTGTATTTTGGCAGGTAATCCCATCGAGTGTGATTCTTGGCAAGCATTCAGTCCGAATTTCCAGAAATTAGGGAAGAGACTGATTGAAATGGATTGCGATTACGAAATTTCACAACCTCACCCCCAGAGATTGTTTCTCAGTAAAGTTTTTTCATTCAAGCCTTTACGGTAGAAGTGGTTCACAGTTTGTCGCATACCAATATCACTACGGTAACTTTGTCATTTCGGGATAAAAACTCGATTTGTGTTCTGATAATGGCCGGAAGTGCCTCGATTGAAGAACATTTGAGCAAAGTGGCTGCTATGGTCTGCTTTAAACCTGAAACCTTCGCTAATTATTTTATATTAATATTTTATAAAGAAACAGCAGAATTTATATGTATGGACTAAAACTAACTTGAGTGGATTAACATTTTCCAGTTTTGTGGTATCTCCCACTAAGTAAATCCGGAGAACCCATTAAGGAAATGTTGCTCACTAATAACGAGAAAATGCTCTTTGCTAATGAATTGATTGAAACGACAAAAGCATTTTTCTTGAAAGAAACTCAATTCTCTACTAATGTGACCAACTAGTCTGTAAGTATCACTCCATATTCGAGACTTCTTGTTAAGGACCTTAAACCGATTCGAGGCCTGCTTCGAGTTCCATGAACCATTTCAGTGTGGACGTGAAACGTTAGGCCTACTTGGAGTTCCTTGAACCGTCCTGACTAGGTCTGAGGAGAGAATGCCTCCAGGAAGCATGAAATCCATGGGGCGTGTCATCCTGTTAATTCGGAAATGTCCGGAAAAGATATCGCTCTATCCCACCACATCTATCGGCCACTGGCAACCACCGTTTCATTCTTAGTTCATTTCATGAATTCAGCAAAAAAGTCAAATACATTGAAAAACTGAATATCCAGACACCGACACGAAGGCCGAGTCAGTCATGAATCTGACATAACTCCGGCCCTATATCCGGCAACATTGGGGGACGGGACCAGAGCCAGCACTATAAGACTAAATGAACGATAGCTAATTTAATTTTTCATGGCGAAATGGTACATTGCAAAAAACATAAAAACCACTTTTCGTCATCAACGAATCAATATTTTTCTCATGATTCGTCTCTTTCCTCCAAAACCCCCCAGGAGTGGCTACCCAGGGGGAGGATAAAAAAAAATGGAATGAAATTCACATATTCAAAAAGCGAGTTTCAATGTTCTCCACCACCCCTGGGGAGCTTCACATTTGCTGGAGCGATTCTGTGCTGAGAGAGGAATAAACATGCCTAATTTCGTTCCTTTTCATGCTCTCCAAGAGGAACACGAGGAGTTTGAATTGATTGTAGAAAGGTAGTAGGCGCTGCTACGCCTATTGAAATATGCATGTGCAATTTTAATGCATTGATATTGCCCAATGGTGCAATATGGCGTCACAAGTACTTCAGACAAAATAAAAATTACTCTGATGCCAATTCTATTAATAACTGAATGCTCAAACATCATAGTCTAACCTTAGACTAGAGAGTTTGAGGAAAGCCTTCCAAAAAATTCCTTTGATTTTTTTACACGAGAAAAAGCAACCCAGGTAATCAAAGTGAATACCAGTCATGTGTTAGAGCCTAGTTGAAAATTCCATCTTTAGAAGCCAGGAGCAGATAAAATGACTTCCATTGGTCCCAGCGTCAAGGTCATGAAGGAACATGCCCTAAATTCTCAAAGTCCCTGAAAAATCAAACGAAGTTCTCCGAGAGGGGATTGCCTTTTGTAAGGAGTTGAATATCATCAGCCGTGAACCTTTGAATTTGCCTGAATATGAAAAATACATTTATAACAATGTATGCAAAATGCACATGAAAACACTGTTAATATTTACTTCCTCCACACTTCCATTTGCTGCGCGTGTGGCCAAAAAAAATTATTTGGGGTTAGGTCTTCCACAATGATATTGCTGAGAAGGATGAAAGGAATTATGGCTGAAAGGTTGGCACCTAAGTACTTTATCAAAATCCTTCTATTGACACTCTAGCATGAGAAGAATTGGAATCAGTTCATTGTTCTACCACAAGGATACTTATTTCCACCCCCCCCCTATGACCTAGCTGTGGCTAGTGATATATGCCCGATTTCTGAAATATTCCTTTACGTTTTAGTTAATATTCCTTTAAGAATATCTTCTTCTAAGGGAAAAAATTTAGCTTAAAGGCTCCTTTATCTCCCATTAATGAGATTTGTACATTAGGGTCTTAACCTTTAAGGTAGGCACAATACGGAATGTATTCCACGCTGAAGAGCTTTTTTACGTCATTATCATCTGAAAAATACCTAAAACGTTGCTTTTTTGTGAAGCACTTATGATGTTGAAGCGGACATTTAAATTAACGGCCGTGAGAAGACCAAAGCATTGGAACACCCGGTACTTTAATGGTTAAGTGGGCCGGTGAGGAAAAAAAGTATTTTAAAGCCTAATACGCGTTTCTTGCAGTCACAAATTACAGTGTAAGTGTTGAATATACTGAATTACGTGTGAAATCGTTTTTCAAGAGGAAAAAGTGGCATCAGATTGAATTGTTTTTCATTTCGTGAAGTAAACGGTCTTCATATGACATCAAGCCGAATGTATTTGCCCATCTCGTATGCAGTCTTGATAGTCATCCGGATTCAGGCTTTGAAAAGAGTTCCCGTCGGCACAGCTGCCATACACGGTCTCGTAGAATTGCGGGTTCAGCACCCACCAGGCAATACTGCATCCGCAGTCCACGGGATTATCTAGAATGCGCGCGAAGAGGAGTGTCAGCAGAAGCGAAGGGAACTCGGGAGGTCGCGTTAACTCCCTGCTGCATTACTCACCGACCAATAAGATCTTCCCACTTCCCTGCGAGAGGATCTGCAACATTGGGCGAAAAACCTCTTCCGCCAATTCGGTCACTTCATTGTTATGTAGGTGTATCGTCGTTTCAGGCCCGAAACCTGGAATGAAGGAAAGAGGCGTGCTTGTGCGGCACTGGTTGAAAATCGCGCAGGATACTGTGTATGGTGGTCTGAGAATTGATGGTTCTCAAAAGGACGAAAGTATGATTTAGATTCATAAACTCACCAGATATTGCATGCGGTTCTATTCTTGAAATCGAATTATTATTGAGGAAAATGTTACTTATGCCTGTAGTACTGAATGTTAAAATGCCAGTCGCCAGGGTCGGTCCGAGGGAGCAGCTCTGACAGAAGAACATGTCCAGGTTCCCCAAAACGCTGAAGAATCCAATCGGGATCTCCGAGAGAGGATTGGAAGCTGGATTA